AAAAAATGAAAATTATTAAAATTTTTTCCTCAAAATCGCGGGTTTTTTAAGGGTTTTTAGGGGTTTTTCCCGCCTTTTTTGCCGTGAGGGGAGCGGGGTTTTGGCGCCCCCTAGCGGCCGTACCGATGCGTCGCTCTTCAAGCAGGGATTTGATTTCGGCGATTTTATCCAAGGCCCGGCGGAGAACGCTGGATTTAAAAAAAAAAAAAGAATAAAAAAAAATAAAAAATTAAAGAAATTAGAGATAAAAAAAAAAGGTAAAAAGTTGGGGAAAATAAAGATTTGATTGTTGGCGGGGAAAGGTTGAGGGGGTGTGGGGGTTTTTTTTTTTTTGGGGAATGGGGGTGAACGGGGGTTTGGAGGAGGGAGTTGTGAGGGGAATAAAAGAAAATTGTGAGGGGAAAAATTAAAAATTGTGAGGTAAAAAATTAAAAATTTGTGGGGAAAAAAAAGAATTAATTCTGGGGGAAAGGGTTTTGGGGGAAAAAAGAGGTTTTTGGGGGAAAAATGGGGGGAAAAGAGGGTGAAAAATGGGATTTTTGGGGGAATTGAGAAGGGAATTGTGAGGGGAAAAGGAGAAAATTGTGAGGGAAAATTAAAAAATTGTGAGGGGAAAATTAAAAATTGTGAGGGGAAAAATTAAAAATTTGTGGGGAAAAAGGGATTAATTTTAGGGGAAAGGGTTTTTTGGGGGAAAAAAGAGGTTTTTTGGGGAAAAATTGGGGAAAAGGGTGAAAAATGGGATTTTGGGGGGGAAATGAGGAAGGAGTTGTGAGGGGAAAAGGAGAAAATTGTGAGGGAAAATTAAAAAACTGTGAGGGGAAAATTAAAAATTGTGAGGGGAAAATTAAAGATTTGTGGGGAAAAAAAGGATTAATTTTAGGGGAAAAGGGGTTTGGGGGAAAAAATTGGTTTTTTGGGGAAAAATGGGGAGAAAAGAGGGTGAAAAATGGGATTTTTTGGGGGGAAATGAGGAGGGAATTGTGAGGGGAAAAGGAGAAAACTGTGAGGGGAAAATTAAAAAATTGTGAGGGGAAAATTAAAAATTGTGACGGGAAAAATTAAAAATTTGTGAGTAAAAAGGGATTAATTTTAGGGGGAAATGGTTTTGGGGGAAAAAAGAGGGTTTTTGGGGAAAAATGGGGGGAAAAGAGGGTGAAAAATGGGATTTTTGGGGGAATTGAGAAGGGAATTGTGAGGGGAAAAGGAGAAAATTGTGAG